CCCCCCCCCCCCCCCCCCCCGAATACAGCAACATGTTCATTCATGGAACCAAAACTGGGTCAAAAAAAACACAATGCGATGTAAAATGATTTAAAATAAACAACCTCCCAACAGGTGTTCAACAACAAACGAATCCTTTGAATTGATTTTCATCACGCTAAACCCAGAGTAGTTCGAGTAATATATTGCATTGTAGTCACACCCCCAGACTGTGGTTCTGAGACATTGTCACAAGATTTCTGGTGGAAAGACCTGCAGAAAAGGTTCACTATAATTTTTGCGCTGCTTTGAAGTTGATATCGTAACACAGCTGCAGCAACAGAGAGTTGATGTGGACTTAATTAACATTTTGATGATGTTTTTGAAAGCCAAAATAATCTCTATGTGCCTTTTAAAAAAAAAAAAAAACACACATTGGTTGAACTTGTAAAATAAATGAACGGCCAAGATGTTCTTCAGCCTTGCTTAAACACTCACCCTTTTTTGTGTAGGTGGATATCCAAGGCAGCCAAACTACAATGCAATGCCCAATGCGAATTACCCCAGCCCAGGAATGGGAGGAACCATGAACCCCATGGGAGCAGGGGGCCAGATCCATGGTCAGACTGGCGTGCCACCCTATCCTGGGCTTCCTCCGGGAAGAGGTTTGACCCATGCGGCTATGGGGAATAGACCCTATGGACCCAACATGGCGAATATGCCTCCCCAAGTAGGAACTGGGATGTGTCCTCCACCAGGTGGCAGGAAAGCACAAGAAGCTGCTGCCGCTGCTATGCACGCTGCTGCGGTCAACTCCATCCAGAACCGGTAAGCACTCTGTGTGTGTGTTTAATTTCTTTACATACATTGCTGCAGAGCTCCGTTACCCCCTGGGCAAAAGTTGGTGAGCTACCCCAGTTGAAACAGAGAGAAGGACCATGTCAGCGGTTTGGTTAGCATTTGCCTCTTGGGTGGGTATGAGGAAGAACAAAGGCAAGTACAAGGTCATCGATACGATGAAAGCATGATAGGTCTCAAATGTTGTGTTCTGTGGGAGAAGGCTGCCTTCAGCACATCCAGCCAACCAAACAGGATGAAGAGTCTCATTTTCAGATCCTGGCACTGAATAGTTCAGGCAAGGCAGACAGAGGGGGGAGTATTAGCTTGCTATTCTTGATTCATCTGGTTATGTGCAGTAACTGTTTCATAAACGGGTTAGAGGGTTTGATTCCATGTTAGTGACTCCTTGTGTCTACCTAACCAGTTTCCTACTTGGGAATATTCTGGCGTGTGTTTTTGTGGAAGGTGGAATAGTTGGTTGGATAACTTATTTGCAATCATCTCCTCTTTGACTGTTGAGATCCATTTCCGCAAACATTATTATCCTGGAAGAGCTCATAAAAGAATTGTGTTAGTTGTCATATTGTTGTGAGGTTATGGAATTCAGCTTCACCTAGTGCATTCTTGCTGCTCAGTGAAATGTTTAAATAGTGTTGGGAGGTTTTGAGGGTAAATGTTTATGCCAATGAATAATTTGATGTTTGAAGTATTTTAACAACCAGGAACAGCTGTGGTTGCCACAGTAGCACAGACCTGAACCACTTTTTAAAACAACCAACAGGTCAGCAGGTTAGATTGAGTAAGCAGACGAGCGTTTGTGCTGACATGCTGATTTTAATAAGAAAAACTGGCACTAGTCAAATATATTTTGGCAGTGTACACAAGTGCTACTAATAAATGTGGTCGTGTTGTTAGTGCACATGTGCAAATCATGTAATCCTAATAATCATGTTGCTTTTAGGCCATCTGGATACCCCCATATTAACCAAGGAGCAATGATGGGAACTGGGCCTCCCTATGGCCAAGGAATTAATAGCATGGGTGGGATGCTCAATCCCCAGGGCCCACCTTATCCAATGGGTGGGAATATGGCCAACAATTCAGCAGGTAAGACATTGTATACTCTTACACGTTCCTTGGGATTTAAGATAATTCATTGGGGGAAAACACACCACTCTCACGTTGATTGTTCAATTTTGTAGGGATGGCTGCAAGTCCAGAGATGATGGGACTTGGGGACGTTAAACTAACACCTGCAGCAAAAATGAACAACAAGGCAGATGGAACACCAAAAGCGGAGTCCAAGTCAAAGGTAAAAAAATTGGAGACAGTCATTTGTGTATCCGTTTTTAAAGAAATGCGGGCCTTGGTTTCTTAACATGTACTTGGATTATAATAGACGTTTAGGGCACTCTCACTTTTCCTTCTACTGGTGCAATGGTAAAAAAATTCCCAGTATAGCACAACATTGTCAGTTTTGTATACTTTTACCCAGCAAGACCACTGTTTGTGCAACTCCCAAGTGTATCTAAAAATAACTAGACAGTCCTTTGAAACAAGTTTGGACTGTGCCTGGAACACACTTGGGTGATGTTTGCTTAATATTTCTCTTACTGCTGACTGTCTGTTGTACCTCTTGCCTGGGGTCTACCTTCTGTAAATTTGTGGTGGCCCCAGGCCATGTGGATTTATAAAGGTATAGAAAACCTTTGACTCCTAAGGCACTTGAGTCCACCTCTAATTTGGTTATTCTTCTACCAGTGAACATACTCTATAGAAGTCTTCTTGTGTGCTGCCTTGGGCCATCTTAATGTACATTATTTTATCCGGATTCCTTATTTCTAGCAAAACTGGCCATGTGTCAGCTGACACGGTATCATCTTACAAACATGAGCAAAAATATTTTTTTTCATTAAATGGATTCAGCACCGTCTTCCCCAAGAGGGTGTGCGGTGGTGGACTGTGCAGTAATGATAGGAACAACTGAGAGGTATAAGTATAAAATATGATTTAAAAAGAGTCAATGGCTTCTGTCCCTTAATGCCAACATGTTGGCTGTGGCTGATTTAGGATCAAGGTACGATGTTCCAGATTCATACAGTATAGACAAGATTATAGAAAGGGTCTGGTGAATACATGATTTCAAATCCTAGAAAATGGAGAGCCATGTTTATCCTTAAATATCATCGCCGTTTAGTCGTGTCTGACTGTTCGTGACCCCATGGACCAGAGCACGCCAGGCCCTCCTGTCTTCCACTGCTTCCCGGAGTTGTGTCAAATTCATGTTGGTTGCTTCGATGACACTGTCCAGCCATCTATTAGCTAACACTTAATAGTGGTTAAGGCAGGAGAAGAAAAATGGCTCAAGGGAGAGGTTAGACAGAATTTCGCTTTGTGACTTACTCGTACGTGAAGAATGTGTCTGTACCAGTTAAAGGAGTTGTGACCCTGACATTCTGTTCAGAAAGTCCTGTCTGTACTACATGTTATGATTGCACCAAACTTGTTGTGAGGTGGGCTCCAGTGCTGCCACTTGGCTTGACCAATCCTGGCTTTGTATATAGAAGAGAGCTCTGCTTTATCCAATGATTAGTCAAACTTAGACGTTTGTTTTTACCATAAGGGAGGTACAGCAATTACAGGTTTTTCTAGCCTCTGCTAGAGATGTGCCTTTTAAGAGATTTAGCCTGTTCGTTGTTTTGCAGTACCCGCTTACCTGCAAGGTTAGTATCTTGAATTGTTTTAATTCTCCTGCATGAATGGTTGGCTTGTCTTGTCAAAAACTGTTGGCAGAGCAACCTGGAATAGCCGTTCAGTCTTTTACCAGATATTGCCTAGTGGAAATAAGCCATTCAGTGACTTTCATTTTTTCCCCCATCTGAGATGTGGAGACTTTTTGTTCATTGCTTCAGTATTAGGAGTACACATTTAGAACTGTGCCAATAGTTATTATAGAGTGGAAGTAATTCTGGAGTCAAGAGCCTTTGCTGAGAAGTTCCACAACCATTATTTTTATGACCTAAGCCAGAGATCCCCAACCCTCGGTCCGTGACCCGGTAGCAGTCTGCGGCCTATCCAGGACCCAGCTGCGGACACAGATCTCCTACCCCCCGTGAGCGCTGTTGCACACAAGCGCGTTCTGCCCCCCTGCGAGCGTGGCATGTGCATGCGCACGAGCACCCTCCCGTGCACGAGTGAGCTCCGCCCCCTGTAGACAGGCCACGCCCCCGCAACCGGTCCGTGGTTGGTAAGAAGTTGGGGACCACTGACTTAAGCTTTCTTTTCAAAAAGAGTATGCTGTGGTCGTGAATGGTGGTCCTCCCCCAAAGCCAATACAGTATTTTGGGAGCATTCAGATCTAAGTCAGTCGAAAAGGAGGGAATTTGGTGTAATTGTAAATTCTTGATTGTGATAAGGAGACCGCACCACCCACCATAGGTCACCTTACATTTTCATGTCCAGTCACTTGCAGCGTTGTTTATAAAGAGTTTTTCTCAGTGTTAAAAGAAGAATGAGTAAACAATGACCTTTCAAATGTTGGACTGGAACCCCCATTAGCTTTGGCCAGCCTAGCCAGCGGTGAGGGTCACTGGGTATTGCAGCCCTATAACCTATGGAGAGCTGCACTTTGCCAATTTGCTTACTCTTTCTCTAGAAAATCAGTTGGGACTACAAGAATCCAGTGGAAATAGTAATACTGCCATACATTCGATCAGATGGATCTTACCTCTCCTTTTAAGAATGCAACTCCTGTTGCAAATGCAGAACATGTCCTGTTCTCCTGTCTTCTGCTGCGCCTTCTCTTAGTGAGAAGGGAAGAATTTATTTAGTGATTATCCAATGTGTGTGTGTCCATCTGTCCATCCAAGAAATGATGTAGGTTCTCAGCTGGAGTGTTTAGTTCATTTCCAAGCATTGGACTGTTATTGGTATGAATGAGTAACATTTCTGACTCAGAGCTTGTCTCTACAGCAGAATTAAGGGAAAGAAACAGACCCTGACAGGAATGCAACTTGAGCCAGTGTTATGCCACTTTCTAAAACAACACAACTGTAAATGAAAAGCCTTCCATGTTAACGGATGTGCATACTAAGTTAGCAGCTGTGTACTTTTCTTCTTCAAAAACTGTTTGATTAAACTGCAGCAACTTTAAAATAAAATTTAAAAACACAGCAAAACAAAAGGCACCAAAACATTGTCGTAGTTCTAAATGCCCTTGCCTAAAGACAAAGGTCTTGACAGCTTCATCAAACAGAGACAGTTTCTCATATTTCTTGCATTAAATTTGCTAATGGATTCAGGGCTTGGGGGGCCAGAAAAGGGCACTAATCCCATGATCTCCCTTTTGGAACAACATGACATGCTCTACTAAATTCAAAGCCATCTTCATGGGTCCTTGTTGCTTGAGAGATATAATCACCTTTCTGCTTCTATTTGCTATGTTCTTTGAACTTAATCTTTGGTATAGATACTGTACTTCAGTTTGGATTCCAGTTTTTTATATAATAAATACATGATTGTAAGGTATGACAATAATAACCATGTCCCATCAAGCCCATTTTGACTTACGGTGACCCTTTTCAGGGTTTCCTAGGTAGAGAGTTACCCAGGTTTACCTTTCCTTCCTTTGGGGGCATTCTGGGACTATTCAGCTTGCCCAAGGTTACACAGGCTGGCTGTACTCACAGAAGGCACAGTGGGGGAACCGAACTCCCAACCTCTATCTCTGCAGCCAGATGCCTAACTCACTGAGCTATCTGGCCAGTTTACGTAAATGTGTGCACAAATAATTTTATTCATTTAAAATATTTATTTCCCCTTAAAACAGATTAGCAAAAATAAAATAAAATCCACCAGAATATTATATAAATAAGTTACATCAGACTAAGCAAAAAATCTCAGCTGATTCAGATTAAACAAAGAAACAGCAATTAAAACATAATAACAAAATCACAGTGGCTGAAATCCTGTTGTGTTTAGGCTCAAATTACTCTCAACAGACCTCCATAGACATTATCTATTGCACACCAAGTAATGGGACTTAATATGCAATAAATAATGTCTTTGTAAAGTTCCTGACTTGTGGTAATTCCCGTCTAAAAGTTAAAGCATTTGCGTAAGTGTGAAACAGGATTTCAGCCAGTATATTACTGAAGAGCCCTTAATCACCAAAAATGTAGATGAACAAAGCAGATTTCATATGGCACCCATGGTATTAACAAAAGTGTTATGCAGATATCCTCAGGAATAGTGATGGGCATGAGCCACTGGTTTGGTGGTTCATATTGGTTTGTTTATCAGCTAAACAGATATAGTTTGAAGTGATTATATAACTAAGACATCACCTAGGTTTTCACAGTACTCTGAACCTAAATGGGTTATGTCTCAACACTTTGTTAACCTCATACGCAACTAATAAGGACAGCAAAAACTTCCATGCCTCTTCTTTCCTTTTCCTGCTTTATTGAATGGCATTGAAGAGCTATGGTTTCGGTGGTGTGGTTGGAGCGTGATTCTCTATTCTGCTTCTTCCTCTTGCTTATCTAGAAATCCAGCTCCTCTACGACCACAAACGAGAAGATTACTAAATTGTATGAGCTAGGAGGTGAGCCAGAAAGAAAGATGTGGGTAGATCGCTATTTGTCCTTCACTGAGGAGAAAGCAATGGGCATGACCAATCTTCCAGCTGTGGGTCGGAAACCCCTAGACCTGTACCGTCTCTACATCTCTGTGAAGGAAATTGGAGGACTGACTCAGGTGAGTAATAGTGGAGCCAGATCACCTTTAAGAAATATGCTTGTCATCCCTTGGTAAAGGTGACACACACTTATACACAGCTTCTGAAACCAAGGTCTGGAGTTTAGCAATATTACTTTTTGGAACTAAACTCTTATTAGTGGTTGTTGTGGGTTTTTCGGGCTCTTTGGCCGTGTTCTGAACATGGCCAAAGAGCCTGAAAAATCCACAACAACCATTAGATCCCGGCCATGAAAGCCTTCGCGAATACATTAAACTCTTATTAGTTGAGAGATTTGGGGAGTTTCCCGCGGGGGGGGGAAGGAAATAGTTCCTTTTGTTTCTAATACTTCATCTAAGTTATTTCATGTACTACTTCATACTATTTGCTAAGTAATCTGAATTTTACTATTTGTTTTGAACTAGATGTTGGTTGAAATTCTGTTGCACAGTAATGCAAAAGGTGCATACCTTTTGGAAGCAAACAGCCTTAAGTGAAGAAATAATCCCCGGCATTATCTGTTGCACACAAAGTCACATGATTCCGCAAGAGATTTCTTAACTTTTGACAATTTGCTTCAAAAAGTTACACCTTTCGTGTAACTCTGCAACAGGATTTCAGGCATTGTATTATAAACTTGGGTGGTTTATCCTTTAGAGCTTTCTTGTTTTCCCAAAACCTACTTGGGAAGCCTTTTCCTTTGATAAGCAATGTGTGACTTTGAAAAAAAAAGTTGGCCCTTCTGGCTTCGTGCAGGTGAACAAAAACAAGAAGTGGCGGGAGTTAGCAACCAATTTGAACGTGGGCACCTCTAGCAGTGCAGCTAGCTCACTGAAGAAGCAGTACATCCAGTGTCTCTATGCCTTTGAGTGCAAGATTGAACGAGGTGAAGACCCTCCCCCAGACATCTTTGCAACTGATTCAAAAAAGTCACAGCCCAAAATACAGCCTCCATCTCCAGGTGAGTCAAGCTTGACTTTTGAAGCTCATCATGTATTTAGTACTCTGTAAAATCTAGATCAGTACTCAGTAGCTTGTAGCTTGTATGATCATATAATAGATACTTAACCAAGGCCTTATTTCAACGAAAAATCAGAAGTGCTCTAGTTTCAAGGTTTTTTTTAATGGCACATTTATTAAGGGCTAGATCCAGTTGCTCATCCCACTGAAGCAGACCCTTTGAATCAGATTTAGATGAAGTGTTCACATAAACTCCCCTTTAATCAATGGATTTGTTCTGGTTGGAAGCATCAGTTGAATTTATCGTTAATTTGTGTTGTGTTTTAATAGCATTTATAGAAGTGTTTCTGGGTAGAGCAGCTCTTTTCAAAAAATGGTAACATTTTAGGGGTTGTGCTCTTGATTGCAGAGACAGGTGGCTTGAGCAATGCAAATGCAGTCTTGAGGCATGGAAAATGCTAGTGGTGCATCTAGAGTATGTTGGGAATACCATATATCCCTGTTTTGTGAGACTGAAACTGTACAGTTCACTGGTTTAGGATGATGGGTGTAATGCTGCATGGCAAATTCCTCATGTGTCGTCTCTGTCTTGAATAAAAGGCTCTGTTATCTGCTGTAGAAGAAAATAATTTTCTTCTTGCATATACTGTTTTATCTTTCTGTAAGATGCAGGCTATATTCATTTTCACCCAGTTCTTCTTTGTGGTCTCTGTGAATCACACATATGGCTTTCCTTCACACCTGTGCAAGGATCTTTGGAACCTTCTAGAGCTTAAAGAAGAAGCTAGTCCATACCTCTCCAATGTGCATGCTTCCCACCCTGTGGTTAATCCTGAGATTCTTTTTCACTGCCGCTGAGGTAACAGCTTGGGAGATTCTCTAGAGCCTTTGCCTCATGGCCAAAGTTTGTATGTAGTTCATATTTCTACTTCTCTATTTCGGTTTCCTCCTCATTTTCCGTCTTTGTTGTCCTTCGTCTAAAAGAAAAGAAATATTTGTTGTTTCGTTGTCTGCAACCTTTCCTGCCTTATATGGCCCCAGCAGGCCCATTTAAGAAGTGAATCACTTGCACTAAGAAAATACCCCTCACCAATGGACGCTCAAAGTGCCTTTATTGCCTAGGTGAGGGGCGTCAAATACAGAATTGCCAAATCTTATCAAAAATTCACGGAAGGAAGAGTAAGCAGTCCCACTTAAAATTCTGTCTCTCGGAGAAGTTGTTACAAGTGATTGACACCATCACCTTGGAAACTACTTGATTCAACAGTTCCATTTGTAAGACCTTTCCCAAGCAGCTGTTGATGGAGTCAGTTCAATCGAAACAAACCTTGACTAGGATCCTTGATGATCCTCTGTGTCAGGCTCTAGAACATAGCTAGAAGTCTCCAACACCTGGGCCTTCAATGTAGAAATTGAAATTGGTTCCTAAGCAAACATTGGCTTCCATGCAAAAGAAAAGGAAGAAACCTGCCAACCTAGAGAGTTAGCCCCAAAAGACCAGAACTGAATCTTAAGAAGAACATAGGCCTCAAACTCTGGCCTCCAAGACTGCCATGTCACAAGTTTCTCCTGGTCAGGACTCACCTCATGGTGAAGACTCATGATCCATGACATAGAATGTTTGGGTTCTGCATTTAAGGAGGAATAGTCACAAAGACATGCCACTTCATCTGTCTTCAGCCACTCCCTGGAAGGTAGCTAGCCTATCCAAGGAACTCTGAGCAGGCTGTCTCCACTTCAAAAGAGTGCAGAGACTGTTCAAACTAGAGTTGCTTGCAAAAATGATCTCATGCTTCATCTTCTGGCACTGCCTTAACCTTGAAAGGAGTTCCCCCACAGGAAGAGGCATTCAAAATCGCACCACATTCAAGAGGCAGCCAAACTAGAGTTGCTTGCAAAAATGATCTCGTGCGTCATCTTCTGGCACTGCCTTAACCGTGAAAGGAGGTTCCCCCACAGGAAGAGGCATTCAAAATTGCACCACATTCAAGAGGCAGTGAATCCTGCTCAGTTCTGTTTTGGTGCCATTCTGCACTTTTCGGGACTAGACTGGCATCTGTCTCCCGCTTTATGATTATCAGGCAACATAGGGAGAGAAATCTGTTGGCCAATTCATTGCCTCCCTTTGTACTGTCGTGTGTCAGTCCCCTATGCTCAACAACCTTACAGACATAACATTTTGGCATTGAGGTCACTGTAACCAAAATGCTTTCTCCAAGTTTCTGCTTCCAAATCATTGGAAGCCAAAAGACCATGTCAGTCAGCCCACCCTGCCAACCACTCCCATTCAATTTCAACCACAGTTTCTTTGAAACTAAAGAAACACCTGCAGCAACATTGCGATTGGTTTTGAAGTCATTGGAACAAAACAAAACAAAACCCAAACATTTGACCAGTAGCTCACAATCTTTTGAAGTCTTTGTTTCTGTCCACCTAGCATCAACACACTAGATCCTCTACACCAAAGACTAGGCACATGGAGTCTTTGGTAACATAATCCATGACTTGAACCTCTCTGCATAGGAAGTTCACATCAAACTCCTCATCAACCAAGTCCTAACATCAATGCCAAATACGGCTCAAATTTCAGAACGACAGTCAATTTCAAGATCCCCCATCTGAAAGCCCACCCACAGGTGACAGTCCCAAGACCAGTCCTTAGTTCCCAGCAAAGACCTAGCCACAAATCCACATCCTCAGACCAAAAAAAATCAGGTGGCAAGCACTGACACCAGGCCATCAATTCCAAGACAGTCTCACCTAAAACCAAGGTTTGCACACCTAAAAAAGAGACAGTTATCTTACCTCCATGATTCCAGTGCATCAGCTTAAAGCGAAACACATTGAGGCAACTCCTTCTGCCGCAGAGAGAACAGGCAGTTAGTGATGGTTCCTCCTTCCAAGTTTCTGAGAAAAGGGATTATCAGATGATTCACTTTCCATCCTAACGACCATTCTGAATCAGATGTGGGGGACACAAATCCTCCCTACTCATCTGAGGAGGTCCTATTTGGACCTCATTCTTAGAATGACAAAGTCTCTGCAATTGGAAGTTCAACAGCCTCCTCCACCAAGGTCAGACCCGGTCTATAACCAAATCAATAAGAATGTCTTGGCTCTGGTCCATATCAGCATGCTCCCTTCACTTTTAGCTCTCAAGAAAGAGTTGTGGCAAAAGCCTTCCACCTTACTGTCAAGTAGAGAACTTGTGTAAATGATAAAGAAGCAGCCTTCCTGCTAAAACACCCACAGCCGAACTCCATCATAGTTCAGGTTTCCTAGACAAGATCCAAAGATCACCATAACACAGTCCCCCAAAACAAGGAAGGACATAAGATGGATGTCATCATAAGGAGGATTTGCTCCACTGCTGCACTGGGTGTAAGAGTTGTGAGTTATCAAGTATCAATGGATTAATATCACAGTTGTTGTTTTTTTGAGACAAAATACAACCACCCCTCAATGACCTACTGGAGGACAAAAAGGCCTTGGCACTGACCTTCTAGTAGGAGACCGAGTCACCAGCGACTCAAGAAAGCCACGCTGCGCGACACACCACTAATTGTAACCCCCAAAACATGGCAACTGCAGTTGCTCTGAAGCCTGATTAAGATTGGCAGGAATATTTGATGATTCAAGATCCTGGATAGAGGACTTGCCATTTGATGGCAAGGGTCTCTTCAGTGACAAAATTGATGATGTCATGGACAATCTGTATAAGGAAAGGAACACACCTAAACATACGGACTTTTACTCACAACCTGAGCAGATAATCAGAAAGAAACAACCCTCCTTTTCCACATCTCAGTACTTCTCACAACCTGTACAAAAATCCAAATACAGGTCTGCAAATCTTTCAGAACAAGACAAGAAATCCAAGCAGCAGCTTTGATTCCCCCGATGCCAAGATCCGTAATCATCTATCTACTTGTTTCCAAAATATATAAGCACTAGTGTCATGTTTCAACATCTAGCACAGTGACAACTGGGTTTTGACCATAGTCGAACATAGCTACGTCATAGAGTTTACTTTCTTTTCCTCAACAGGCTATTTCAGAACTACAAGACTGTCTCAAGTTCTGGAAGAGGAGATAGACACATTACTCTAGAAGGATGCTATACAAGAAACCTCCTGCCCTGAGTCCAGGGGGGATGCCTCCTATTCACACTATTTACAAGAAACCTCCTGCCCTGAGTCCAGGGAGGATGCCTCCTATTCACACTTATTGTCCTCAGAAATGATGGCAGCCTGAGGCCTATCTCAGATGTAAGGGAAATAAACTCATACATAAACATTAAGAAGTCCAGATTGGTGACACAGGAAACAGTCCTGCTACTTCTCAAAAAGGGAGACTGGCTTGCTATGATAGACCCCAAGGATGCTTACTTCCATATTACCAGCCATTCAGGACTTTCGTATTTCCTAAGTTTTGCTATTCCCAACAAGATCTATGAGTCCTACACACACTCCCTTTTGATCTGTTGAGAGCACTCAAAGTTTTCAAAAAGTCTTCCATTTGCAGCATGTGACTCCGAAATTGTGGCATTAGGATATATTTCTTTACCTAGACAATTGGTTAATTGTTGTGCATTCAAAATGTGGTAGAAGAAGGTGTAGCTTTCACTCTACAAGTCTTGTTGGATCTTGATCTTTGAGTCAATCTCAAAAGTCAAAAGATTTGATATATCGGAGCCATAGTGAACTCAAAATCTGTGAGGGCTTACTTACTCCAGGACAGTCCTCAGCAGCCAGAAGTCTCTGTGAATGAGAATTTCCCTGGAGGTATTCAGTGACATTTGCAGTTGATAGGGTCACCCAGAGGTGAACCAGTTCACAACCTGAACCAACAGGAAATGCAGTAAGTATTTTTCTTGGGCAGGTTGCAGAAAGAACTTGATGGTAGATGTCTTTATCTTCACAGAGTCATAGTAAAACTTCACTGGGACAAGGCCAGTGCAATACTAGTGACCCTTGGTGGCCACGCCAGGCCTGGTTCATAA